GGTACATATACACAATGGAATATTACTCAGCAATCAAAAAATATAAACACATGCCTTTTGCAGCAACATGAATGGAGCTGGAAGGGATCATGGTTAGTGAAATATGTCAGAAAGAAAAGGAAAAATACTGGATGGTTTCACTTATAGCAGGAGTATAAAGGACCAGGGGAGAAAAAATAATAATTTATAACTATATACAGAGACATTTTATGAGGATGGAGTGGGGAATGGGATCAAAAATGGGGTTGGGGATAAATGCACTGGGCTATGGTGATAGCACATGGGTAATTTAGTGATGGGAAGCCCATGAGGATTACAACTGAGATGGAAAAGGGCACAAAATGATGTAAAAATAAATTATTATATTATTTAAAATATATCTATGGTGGGGATCTAGGGGTTAAGCCTCAGCATTATCACCACATAGGCCCAACACTGCAGCCTGAGTTTGACCCTTGGCCAGGGAGCTGACCCACATAGCACAGCAGACCTCTCTTGTCTCACCCACTGCTCTCCTCAGCAGTGTATGTCAGTAGATCCACCTGTGTATCTGTCTGTCAAAACCCTGCTTGCTAACTAGAGTTCTGACAGTGGACTGTCCTGGCCTGTTCCATTATATGATCATCCAAGTCCCAGGACTCAAATTCATTGTCTCCGTAATCCCAGACCTAACTCCTCATCTTTGGGTCATTAGCCATGATTTACCTCAAGTGGTCAAAACAATACTGAATAACTTGCTGTGTGTAAATGTTAGCATTTGCACAGCTCCAAGGGGTGCTAGGGACAAGCTACACTATAGGAGTGCCCCCTGAAGTCTGGAACATGGTAGGTAGCCCCATCTTTACTTTCTGCTGCCGTCTTTACTTTCTGCTGTTGGGCAGCAGTATTTACTTTCTTGCCTACATCTGCCTACATCCAATCTTAAATCATCCCAGTAAGCCTTTTTAATCATACATTCTGTGCTGGTTTACTATGGTGCAATCACCTAGATACACTCAAAACTTACTATCTATTCTTACATTCTTTTATTACCAGACTTCCACTGAGTTTTTCTTTTGTTTACCTTTTCTGCTTATAACTTCTTTGAAACCCATGAATTCCCAATTCTTACTAATTTACATTACCTTAGTATAAAGTATGTTATTATGTTGATTACTAATTTAAATCTCAATAGTTAATATGAAAGATAATTTTCTGTGGAATTGTTTTATGCTTCACTCATGGAGGACATCTGGAATCTGGGCTGTTGACCTACAATAAGGGAAGATTGAGTTTCTAAATTTCTGGAGGAATTGGTTGAGTGTAGCACAATCATTTTTTCACCTAATAACAAATATGCATTCTCTCCATTTTTAACATATTTTTTTCTTATTGTGAGAGAATAAGTGAAATTTTATAACTCTAGTTGCAAATGTTTTGGGCCATTGCTTGCCACCAATAATGTCAAGAAAGACTGTAAAAGAAAAAGGAAAATGCTAATTCAAAAATGTGTCTGCAATACTGACTCTAAATACAATATTTTTCAAAGTTTATAGGCAAGAAGAAAGCCTTTATATAACCATGAAAACCACTCAAAATGCTTAAGATTCTAAACTGACTTAAGATTTGAACTGTAAAATGATATAAAATTTATATTTTTAGAATTAATAGGATGTTACCAATTTTTCCTGGTCTGATATTTCACCTTTTCAATTCAGTCTTTCAAGATACTGAGTCTAAATGCTCAATTGAATATAGTACTTTGAAATGTAGTTGACTGTCAATATTAAGGCTATAATAAATACCACACAATAAATATTTATTCTCCTAATTTTTTTGAAAGACATTTGCTCTTTTTATAGAAAATAATCCTTTATCCTTTCCAAGAAACTGTCTCCATCAATGTATTCCAAAGATTTTGTGTCTATTTCACTATTAAATTCTTAGTTTCCTCCTTACTTTACATCTGTCTCAGTAGAAATTCAGATAGCTCTTTTAATATTTTTTCAAGTTTTTTTTTTTCATTATCTTTTCTTCATCTGTTACCTGTTTTTGGAAAATCCTTTATAGTATTTTAATGGTTATATACAAATATATAGTCAATAAGATAGATGTACATTGCAAACAACTGAGGGTGAAAAGCCATGAAAATGAAACTTTTTCCTAATAGCAAAAAACTCAGCAAATAAAAGAAAAACAAAGGTTGGATGAGTATTATTTGACCAAAACATAGTGCTTTCTGGAAAAGAGTAACAGAGAAGTAGAGAGCTCTATAAAAAGAGATTTCTGACCTGATATTTGATAAATTCTACAGACTAGGTAATTTTTGCTATTTTGTTTCTCTAATTGTTCTAAAAACAAAATAGTTTAACACATGTACTTTGAGATGTTTGTTCTTAGACATCATTAAATCCTAAGGTTAACAGAACACAAAACTAAACTCCATTTTTAATCCTCAAAAGTTGCCTTGTCACTAGTATGGATATAATGGGGTTGGTTTAATATAAAAATGGGAAAATGGATACCTTTGGGGAAATTTTTTTGGATATACTTATACTATAAAGAACCTTTTCATTCACGCATTCAGCAAATAATGACTCTCAAAATTGCCTGCTGGTGGTTACTACATTGACAAAAGGGGATTCAAAGTGTCAAATCTTATGAATTAGACAGAAACTAAACCTCTACCATCTAAAAGTCACATCAAGAATTTTAAAAATTCATTTCTGAAATGTTAATGGTAAAATCTAGTATCTTAATATTGATATCCAAAAGGAGGATCCTCTTATCATAATTCTAACAGAAAACCCATCTTCAAATCCTGTCCCTTTTCACCTTCCTTTATTCCAGGCTGAAAGAGATCATCCATAAGCTTTATTGACTGAGTTAACTGGCTATTAGACTCGAAATCTATGTTAAAAACAAAGTCTGAAACCAGAATACACAGGACCTCTATTCTAAATCTAATGATGTCCTGCTTTTGAGACCTTTCCAATAAAAAATTAACACAGCTTTCAGTTGTCCTCAGTTGAAGTTGAATTAACATGCAACATAAATAGTTCAACCTTTCTCTCAATTTTCATGAATGCATGTATTCATTCTTATATGTTACTGAATACTTTTTATGTGCATATTATGCTGATAATTTGAGATTTCTAAACATTTGTTCTCAGGGGGGATGATTGTATTCTAAGATTTGTTTGTTTCACCTGTACAGGTTTCAGTATTTTCAACATACTTCAATGTAAAGGAAGTTTCTGCCTCCTCTCATGTCAGTCCAAGTGTAATTGTGTCTCTCTCCAAAATCTGAAAAGTGATCCCCAAATATGTCAAAATCATAGAAGGCTATCCTATAATGCTAGCCTGTTACATAGTTCACGTAAGAGAAACTTAACAATGAATTCACTTGAAGATACATGTATTCTTGTTATATGTATTTTTCATAGGAATCTGTGAAAATGCAGGTATGTAAGAACCACCAGTTGCAATAATTTAAATGTAAGAACTATAGTATAGAAAATCAGGCTCCTTGTTCATGTAGTGCTCTGACATTCTAGTACTGGGCTTCTACAAATTTATCTAAGGTAAAGAAAAATTTGAGATTTCAAACTATTTCAGTTTAATAAACTACCTTTACCAAGAAATGCCAAACAGATTTCTCTTTTTAGGCACTAACTAAAGCAACCCACATCCTCTGTTTCAGTTTTATAAGCAACTCTAAACCTACCAAATAGACTTTCTGATGGAAGAGATCAATGACTTTAATTTTATGTACTTATAAGTCACCTTTGCACACAAAACATAGAAGCTACAATAACATAATATTGGGCTCTCAGAACAACAATATTATTTTCCTTCATTAGAAATAAGAAGAATTCATTTGAGATCATATTTTTTCCCCAAATGATAGGATTAAAATAATCTCATTAAAACCCAAACAGACATTTTATGTTCTCACATCTTTATTAAAGTATTCATTTTATTAACCTGGCTCAATAATAACACCTGCGCTTTTATATCACAAATTTGCCTCTAAGTAACACACAACACACTTAGGACAAAATATCGATGGCCACGGCTTCTAAACACCACTGCACTGATGTAGACGAGAAGCTAAATCACACAGAGAAGCATCTATTAATACATTCCTTGGTACTTAACTTTAAATTTTAAAACTGCATTATAAGTCAAGGTGCCATAAAATTTCATTTTTGAGATAGGAAATAAACACTACTCCTATCTTATAATTCCCTTATCTGATTTGGTTGGATGTAGCTATTATTAAAAACCTTTAAATTAGTGGGGAAAAAACAATACTTTGTATTCATTCCTCAAAACGGTCCAACTGCAAGCAAAATGAGGAGCCATTATAAAATCATATTGCTAAGTAGTACCTTAACTCACAATTCAGCTTATATAGTTGTATGCTTTTCACACTAACAATTACTATTTAATATATCAAGATACATCCAAAAATACCCTTGGTTGCATTAATATCAGGCTAGGCAGCACTGAAGATTTGTTCTCTGGTTTTCTGGTCATTAGTATTAAAAAAAAAAAAAAAAGGTACCAGGCTATATGTAATTCCAATTTTAGGGCCTATATCACAAAGCCTTCAGAAAACTAGTGGCCTCAATGGAAGGATTTGAAGACTCGAAGGCTTGCAGTTAAGACAGAGTTACCATTAGCAGATCTTAGGGAAATAGGAATGCAGCCAGAATCACCTGACTCTTTATTAGAACAAAATTCATTAAATCATTTCTTTCAGAAAAATATCTTTTACTTGTATATTTTCAAATGTTCTTTTTTTAAAAGAACATATAAAATCAAGGTATTTGTGAAAATAAACCAGTTTCAAGTGTACTTGTTTCTCTTCATCTTTTCCCCTTCAGAAGAGTTCTTCTTGCCAAGAACAAATGTACAGATTTTTAAAGTAAAACAAACTCTTCTGTGCTAAATCTTTTTAATCTTTTCTTCTCATCTTCTGAGAATAGGTCTTCTTCTTTGGTTGTAGTAGATGTAAAATCATAGTCTCTCGAATGACCATTTACAAAAGTAAATAAGGGATATTTCTCCTTAGAAGAAATTTTCAGCATCTGTAACAGAAAGTGTAGAAAGTCCCTTATTAAATGCAATAAAGCACAACAGGGCCACAGGGCAAAATCTAAAGCTTTCGCCCTGAATTTCTCACTAGCTTCTCTCATTTATCCAGTGCTGTTGTTACCTTTTTTCTGGTTAAAAACCAAAAGTTGATCAACATTGTATAGCTTATTTATAGCTAAATAACTGCTCCATTAGGACAACACCATCAAAAATTAGGTACATTATCATTCCAACACTCCTACTCACCAGTAAGTCTTCTGGTCACAGTTTGAAGACTTACTAAAAAGTTAAGATTTATCTTCATTTGGTAGTGATAGAAGTAACAGAATGAAACAAAATGGTATTATAACCATAGTTATATATTGTGGTACCTTAGTATAGAAAAAAGAACTATTAAACTGAATCAAAAGATCTATTCTAATCTCAGCTCTTCAACCCAGCTAGACATGCTCTTGGACAAATCACTGTACCAAAGTATCATCTACAAAACAAGTAGAAGGTATCCAATCGCCTTATTGCAGAGAATTATTAAGGTGATGAAAGCAATAATAAAGTTGTTTTTAAAAATTAAGTTTAGACTTTTCAAAGATTTCTATATTGGAAAAAATATTTTTGCAATAATCTTGTCAATATGAAGAATAGTAGTTTTACATACAGTAATCACTCATTCTTTACATATGTTCTAAAGTTATATAATGTGGAAGCCAAAAAAAAGCAAAACCTACAATTTTTTTGGACACCAACAACCTTTATAACTTCCGTCAGCTGGAATTCATTGACAAGCCAACAATCCATTCTACATTATTTAAATCCTCCTGTTAAACAAGTTCTATTTAAAAGCAACTTTTAAAACAACAAGTTTTGAATGTGGATGTTTTGACAGACATAAACTTTTCTATAGGTAACCAGAACCCATAAAGAGGACTCTGAGGAGTTCTCTATATCTTACAGAGACTGCTGGGAAAAAGTATCAACAATACTCAAACATCATTAATCATGACCAGTTAGGTATAGTTTGTTTTTACAGAATAATTCAGGGGTAAAAACTAAATTCTAGCAAATATCAATATTCAAGAGAAGGACCATCAAATTCTCCCCAGGCCAAACCTTTTCTATTTGTCTCTGCCACCACACCCTAGTTGAGTCTGTAATTATGTGGCCCGTATTCACTGCAGTGGAGCAAAATTTTATGTGAGATTAGAGATTCTAGAATCGGTCTATAATGTGAAAACCAAATGTAGTCAAAGTAAATACAGTCAAAGTTAACTTCAAAAAACTTCTGAATTGTTTAAAGGGTGGTAGCTATAATTCTGTGTATAATCTATTCAAAAACATAAATACAATATAGAGTTCACATGGAAAAATACATTCCTGCTGTTTTATTACAAGAGCTCATGTTTGGACTAGTAAATTAAATATGCACTGATGTTACCGCAACTCTTCCCCTCACTACTCACTCTTAATTCCCTGTGACCCAACATTTACCCCTCATGGTACTAAAAATACTACCTTCTAGTCTTCAAATAAAGTGGTCTTTTATTAGTTCCTATTATCTTGATATTTCTACAGCAATAAAAACTGCTGATTCTTTCTTAAAATAGTCAACTCCCCTTGATTTCTATACTTTGTTTTCCTGTTTCTCCTCTTACTTGCTGGACTCTTTCTTCTCTATCTCCTTCACTGACTCTGGCATTCCAAAATGCAGGGTTTTTACTTTTAGAATATGCATCTTGAGGTAGTGTTGTTTTACAATGTTGCATACATGTTCTAGGGGTACAGGTCACATCCTTCACTAAAGTCCCCAAAAGACTCCATTGTAGTTCTCACTGTCCACTTTCTGCTTTGCTCACACCCTCCCCTCTCCCCTTCTGGTAGCTTCAGTTCTGCCAGCAGATTTCAAGGGTTTGTTTTGGTAAGTTCTATTGTTTTGTTTCTTTATATTCCACTAATGAGTGAAATAATTCAGTATTTGCCTTTCCCCTCCTTATTTTGGTTAGCATTATCCCCTTCAGTTCCATCCATGTCACAAATGGCAAGATTTTATCATTTTTAATAGCTGAGTGATGTTCCACTGTGTAAGCAAACTGCATCTCCTTTATCCACCTACATTAACTGCAGCACTATTTACAATAAATAGCAAAGCTATGGAAACCACCTCAGTGCCCAATGACAAAATGCACATGCTAATAAATTTTTATTCTTCTCTATATATTCTCTCTTAAAAATATTGTCTACTTACAGTGTCAAACATTTCTGTTAGACTTCATTATCATCCAGATCTTACAGATGAGGAAACGGGTGGTGCCAGTGGTTCTGTTACAGCCACTTTACTCTACCTCCAAACACTAACAGGAGGCAAGCTGCAATATCAACTCCAATTGATCAACTTAAAATAAACCTATTTCTTTCCAAAATTAGCTTCTCTCCAGACTTCGCTATTTCTATCATTGATAACATCATTCTTGTTGATTAGTGTTTTATGTTGGCTGAATAATCTAAAAAGGAGTCAGACATGAAAATCCAGGGGGAGGAGAGCAGTGGAGTCAGCTTATAATGTGAAAACCAAAGGTAGTCGGAGTGCAGCTGACAGACTACAGCTAGTCCAGAGGCATATCCGCCAGCACACGAGGCTTGTCCCAAGAAAGGAGGCCAGAGTGGCTCCAGTGGGAAAGACAGCAAGAGTGCTACACATGATTTAGGTTCCACTGTCCCTTCCAACAATCTGTCTCCTATGCTTAAGAGATAACATTCTCTCAGTACTTTTACTCGTGATGTTGTTGTCATCTAACCATCCTTTATACTTTTTTTCTGATTGTTATCAACTCTCAGTCCTTAAAACCCCCACCCAAGTCCCACTGACAAATATCTCAGTCTGCATTGATTACTCCTTTTTCCAAAGTCCTATAGATTTGTCTACTGTAATGTAAGAATTATACACACAAACTCACAAACTATGGATCTCAGCTCCAGTTCAAGACTTGATTGATACTTACAAACTGTGTGACCTTGGACAAGTTATTTAACACAATGTCTCACTTTTCTTAGCTGTAAAATGTCAGTATTGATAACATCTATCTCACAGAGTTGTTGTGAGGATTAAATCAGTTAATATATATGTAAAGTATGTAGAAGACTGCCTGGTATCTAACAGGCTGGCTGTTATTTTTACTGCCATTATTATTATGCCATCAGTCTTCTAGCATTTGCTAATTTATTAATATATTCTTGCAAGTCATTTATCTTCAATATCCACTTCATGTCTTCCCAACTTGGCTGAAGACCCAAAGGTCTTATTAGAAATCAAAATTCAAGAAGGTGATGGAGGTAAGAGCATAAGAAATATGGTGATGGGCTATGGGTTCTCTGGTGGTGGGAAACCCACAGTGACTATACCTGCAGGGAGAAATCATATAATGTCCAAAAATTTGCAATGTAAGAGAAAATTACTACATTTAAAAATCTGAAAGCATTTAAATAAAGAAATCAGAGTTCCTGTTATTAAATCCCATCAGTAAAAAGAGCCTGTGAAAGAAAAATATTACTCTAATTTTACATGGAGAACAGTTACTAGAAGGAAGGGAAATCTAATCATGAACATAAACCGGAAACACCAAAGTGTTTTCAAAAAGACATTTTCCAAAATGATGATGGGTATGGGAAATTGTGTACAACTGAGTAAAATGGGAATATCCACTCTAGAAGAGAAAGCACTTACTTTTTTACTCTATGAGATGGATAAATAAACATTACATGAGGCTAATTCCAACTCAATATAAGAAAAGCCTTTTTAACAATAAAGCTTAGTCCAAAATGAAAAAAGACTTTCAAGGAAAGTAGTTAGTTCTCTGTAAGCCTGAAATAAAGATTCAGTAGTCACTAGCTGTACTATGGATTGATGTATAAATAGCAGATTGTGTAGTATAGTGTTTATGAACACACTTTCATTGTATTTTTTTATTGATGAAAATTATATTACAACATTATACAAGTTTCACATGTGTACTATTGGGATCAACATGACAAATACACACTCTTTAGCAGTCTATGGTATGAATTCCAGCACTACCATTTGTTGTTGTGACCTTTGTGAAAGTAACATTTGAAAGTATAAGATTCTCATTCTGTCAATGGGGATAACTGTACATTTGTGTAGACTTCTCTGAGAGCGCCTCTTTACTTGCACCCCTAAATTCAAGCAGCTACATGGCTTTATTATTCTTTCACAAATTTCCTTCAGAACAGTTCCTTATTTTCTCCTATAGCTCTATCCTATACCATTAGGATATACCTATACCTATTTCATTAGAAATAATGAAAAACAGACTTCTAATAATGATACTAATACAACCAGTTATCCAGGTTAAAAAAGAAAAGAAATGCCAACCAGAGACATACAGAAGCTCTAAATGTGAAACTTACACTTCCAAAAGATGAAGGAGAATGTAGGTCACACTTTATGATTTGGTTACTAAAAATTCCTTTAATACAAAATTCAAATCCCATAAAGAAAAATATTTACTAATTTGACTAAAATTAAAGACACCATTACAGTGAAAATAGTAGATTAAAAGAACAAATATATTTACAAGACGTAGAGCCAACAAGTGGTAGTATCCGAAATTACAACTTTGAGGTGATTTCCTTCCATTCGAATAGCCCAATAGAAAAAAATTGAGAAAGGAAGGGAATAAGAAATTTCAGAAGAGGAACTGAATGGGCCTGTAAGCCTTGAAGAGATGTTCAATCTGACTAGCATCAGGGAAAGACACATTAAAAGCACAGAAAAATACTGTTCATATCCATTAGATTGGCTAAAAATGTCAAAGTCTGGCAAATCATGTACTGTAAAGCACTGGAAATTCTCATACCTTGCTTCATATGATCACTTTGCAGAAATGTGACAACAGTTAGTAAACTGACCCAACAATTCCATCCTAGTAGCTAGTGTAGCTTATATGTTATATACTCTTAAGTGCTGCAGATGCACAGAGAGACATGAACCAAAATGTCCTTCTTACTTGCAATTAAAAAATAAAACAAGTCAGCTGGCCATTAACAAAAGAAAATTTAAAAATAAGTATACGGTTGAGCAGTTTAAATGAATAAGCTACATCAATGTGTTTATAATCTGTTACAAGTGAACAAAAAGGAAGTTGCAAAACAATACGCATATTTATATATAAATGTCATTAGTGAAAAATTTAGCATGCAAACAACATGTGTTGTTTATGAATATACAAGATATATTAATTTAGGGTAGTGGCCACACATCCCAGGGTTATATTACAGTGAGTGGGAGGGAAGACCCTTCCACTATACCTATTTTTTTCTTATGCCCAGTGGTTAGCATATGGATATTTATCGTAACATCTTTTTCTGCAGCCTCAAGTCAAAAATCTAACTTAATAAAATTAACATATTGCTCAAGTACGAAGTTCTTCAGCCTAGTAGCTAACTCTTCACAATATTATTCCAACTCCCTTTTCTTTGTATCAAAGAAATCTTTAATTATTCCAACTCCCTTTCCTCTAGCAGTGTCTCCTAAGCCTTGACCATTTACATACCTCGCTCATTACTGTTTCTCTGTATGCCATCTCTCCCTTTTCATTTCTTGATGATTAATTAATATCTTCCTTTTCATTGTTTTTAACTTAAATAGCTTTGTACAAATCTATAATAAACAGAACTACATGTTGAAAATTTTCCTACCAGGAATATGAATAAGAACATCAGTATTAAAACATGGGTCTTTGTGCCACCTAAAAATATCAAGTATCACACCTTACCTTACAACAGTGGTTCTCAAATTTGGTTAAGAGGTCCTTAAGAGAACTGTTAGAAATGGAGACTCCCAAGCTGTGCCCCTCGAGATTCTGATGTAGGCACTCAAAAACACTGCCCAATATACAGGCTATATATAACTTAAATGCAACCTAATTGCACCTAACAAATTGGACTATTTGCCATTCTCTAGACAAGTTCTACATTTTCCTTTTCCACTGTCTTTACTTTTGTTGTTTCCTGTACTTGAACCATTCCTTCTCCCTAAGCCAACAGAAATTAAGCCTGCTCTTTAAGGTTCATATTAAAAATCACCATCACAATAAAGAACTTTGACTTGGATATGACATCTCTCTCATTTCAACATTCTTCCTTCCCTTATCAATTTGTTTCTATTTCTGTATGGATGCTTATCATATTCAATGTAATATGTCTACTTGTCTCATTTCCCCTCCTGGACTATAAATGTTACTTAGGGCAGAAGCCTTATACATTGTTCAAAAGTAGGAATTGTGGCTCTCAATGTGACAGTTAATCAGAACTTGCTAGACTGAGCACTGCTAAACACTGGATTAATTTAACAACAGCTATTAACAATTTTAAAATCATAGAGCATAAGGCTAACTACAATATGCAGTTACAGAGTATTACAAATGAAACATGAGAACCTAGACTACTTATCTGTATTTTCAAAATGAGAAAACTGAAAATAATGTACTATAGAGAAACAAGTAACTAATTTTGAAATTAAACTGTCAAAAAATAAGTTTAAAATGCCAAATTCAACTGAAGAATGAAGTCTCCTTTACTTATAACCTTCCAAGCAAAAGTAAACGATCAAGTTATTAATTGGCACAGTGAGTTTTTGATACTGCTACAAAAAGCTATTAACTTAAGAATAACACTATTATTAAAGCAAAGTTAATTGACTCTGGAAAAATTCTCTTTACCACCAATGACATTTCAATATGGTTTCTTTTTAATACTGCATATTCCTCTGATGCATCAAAAGCAATAATTTCTAAGTATTTTTTCCAGTGTAAAGAGCAAGATAACAGTATAAAAACCACAAGAACTATCTGTTTTAATCAGAAGAAATCAACACGCAATTTATCTGTGAATCTTATTTTTTCAGTTTGGTAATAATTTATTTCTGTCTCTAGAAGTAGATTACCTTACTATACTAACAAACTTATTTAACCCAATAGAAAATAAAGTGATAAACACAGAAATGGGATTTTTAATGGCAGATGTTCATCAGTATTAGTCTACAGTACAATACCATCTGGATTTGTATATTTTAACATACACATGATAATTGGTAAGACAAAACTAAAATATACAAGTATATATACTAACTTCAAGTAACAAGAGAGCAGGAAAATGGAGAACACATATTTAGCTATGTTCTCTTGACTTCCCAGTTGAAAAGGGAGAGAGAAAAAATGACAACTGTGAGAAATGAAGAATAAGGAAGAGTTCTCACATATCTCATTTTCTCTTCTCCTCATTTATTTTTCTGTCATGTTCCTGTTAAATTTCCCCTTTTAAATGGCAGGTTAAGTAAACTAAGCAAACGTATATGAAACTTTTTAGTTAACTTTTTTATTCTATTTTCACATTGTTGAAATGAAATTTCAACAACTACATCCATTTTCCTGAATAGAATTAACTGGAAGTAAAGCAGTCATAAGGTACTATTCTGAGCTTGCGTTAAAAATCTCCAAAAATGACTATAGTATTGGCTTGCCTTACTTTAAAATGATAATCTTTAACTATTAATACTAATAAAGAGTGCCATCCAGTTATGCTTACTTCCTAAGTAATTTTTTTATTTCTAAAGTACTAGAGAGAGCATAAGACTTATAAATGTTTTAGCAGTATTCAAAGATCAGAAAAATGCAGAAGTTTAAAGATAATGAGAAGGAGTTAAATAAACCTCTTTCAAAATTGTACCAGTAGACTAGATCAGATTAGACAAGCTTATTGGAAGGTAACAATATTGCTCATTTGATAAAGCAGCCAAAAATACCATCTGAGAAATCCAAAAATACCATCTTTTAAAAAAAAAATCAAAGAAGCACTTGAACTAACAAGAAATAATGCACAATTTGGTTTGATCAAATACTTCATTAATTTTTTTCTACCCCCTAAGGTATTGCCCTTTTAAAATCCTCTTCAAATAAAATACCACCTAATTGCTCGCACAAGCTTGCAGTTTGTAAAGGGATTTCTATTTCAACAGTGCCACCTAGTGGAGCAATTAATACTTTCTATTGGTCACTATAGTTCCATTCCTCTCAAAGACTAGAATCCGCAAATTGTTTTATTTTTAATTCGTAATTTTTCTGCTAAAAATTAACATTCAAGGATAATTTTACCAAAATATAATTTGTATATTTTTGTCTTATGAAAGACAATCTCTAATAAAAATTAGAGTACTAACAGATGTTATTACAGTATTATAAATAAAGGTATATTACCTTAGTGATTTCTTCAGAAGCTCTTTTGAAGTCCTGAACATTTCGGCAATAAAATCCTATGGTACAGCTAGGATCCATTTTTCGAAACAACATCTTTTTAGGAGAAGGGCAATGGAATGTCTGTAATTTTAAAAGTCTCTTTAGGATTAATTTAGTTTTATAATGGACTTATACATCTATTAATATTCCTTAATTTTAAATCTGCTATCTACTTATTTTTGAAACTATAAAAATGGTGTTTTCAAAACTATAAAAATGGTGTCTTAGTTTATCCTATGCAGATGATCCTTCCCACTCCCCCAAGCTGTAAAACATGTGAGCCAACAATGTACATATTCAATTCACCGAGTATCCGCCTTATGTGACATTAGTGCCATTCTGCAAAAGAAAGTGTGTCAAATGTGGTATGCATTTCTAACATTTAAATGTCCTACTCAAAAAGAAATGAATAAGCTAGCACAGGTTTAGAATCATTGGCCATTTCTCTAAAAGTGCAATTAACTCTTGTTTTGTTAGAGATTGTTTAATGTTTATAAACCTTTAATTAGCATATCAAGACTTTTTAACAAATACACATTTGTGCAAATGTTGCACGATGACAAGAAAAGAGGTCAAATGTATAGTATTAGCAATTAACATAATTAGTACAGAATTGCAAATTCTTCCAACCCACTCTTCTGTGCTTTAAGTTCTTTACACCCATCAAGACTCCGTGGAAACTATCCTATTGTGGTCCCTGCTGCTCTCCGTAAGAGTCCTTTCCCTTTAGTTCATTTTTCTCAAGTGTTCTCAGAGCCACAGATTTTTCTTTTTTTTTTTTTAGGGCTGGAATAGCTTGAAAGGGGGCAAGAGACTGCTCCACCCTTGCTAATGGGATGTGGTTTAAAATAGTAGTTTGGTAGTTTGATATTTTTAGCAAGTACAAAATTAGAAAAAAAGAGCAGAGTTCAAATCTAATCATCCCAATCTCCTTTCAACACATTCTGGTACTTTATTTAAAAAATATGTTTTAATTACTTGTACATTCAATATCTTGTACTTTATAATTTACTGATGCTATCATGTGTTTTTGTATGTATAAAAAGTTTATGTTCTAAAGGAGAGTCATAAAATATATATTCATACTTGATTATCTGCATAAATAAACTCTAAGGACATACACAAATTAACAAGTTTAAGGGAAAAAGGAGAAAACAGGGCAGATGGGAGATAGGTATGTACAAAATTCTTTGTGATATGTATTATATTTGTGAATTAAACAAGCTCATTTAAGAAAAATCTGGGATGGAATTGCACACATAAATTTTAACTTTTCTAACATTTAATGCCTAAAACTAAGGGATTTTTAACTTGAAAGTATTACAATGTAGAACATAGGCTTTCCTATTTCTGATGTTCATGATAAATCAATCAAAATCACTCTTTTCTCTCCCTATACAATACAGCCTTGTAATCAATTAACATTCCATATTTTCATGAGGATATACAAAATGCTTACATTCAAGTTTTTTTCCCTTATGGAGAATTCATATATTAAATTCAAATCCAATATCACAGCAGTAGATATAAACCAAGCAAAATTATCTTCAAAATTTTAACTTGTACAAAATGCTTTGCTAGCACTTAACTTTAAAGAGTAAGATTCAACCTCACTAAACTGGAACCTCCAGGGTAGTAATCAACACAAGTAGTTCTACTTGGACTTTGTCTAAAATTGCCTCAGCAGTTTTTTTTGTTTTTTTTTTTTTAAGATTTATTTATTTGTGCATACAGAACTGGAGTACAGGCCAGAGGCTCAGCGGCGGTGAGAGGCTTCACCAGAGACAGAGTGGGGAGCAGAACAGGCAGATCGACGAAGTACACTGCTGAGGGGAGCAGCGGGCGGGTCAGGAGAGGTCTGCCACGCCATGTGGTCACCTCCGGGGCAGGCAGGAATAGAACTCATGCGGAAGCGGCTTTAGATTCTCAGTGCTGCGCCACCAGGGAGGGCCGCCTCAGCAGTTTTAATTGTAAAAAGATATTATAAAAATCATATGAAAAGGAATAGAAGAGCTAAGTAAACTTGTTAGTTAGCAATGTAAATAAGTACGTTGGTGTAAAAGGCATGGAGAGCTATAGCTAATTTTTTAAAAATATTCTAGACAAAGTATCTAAAGATAGTCATTTGCCTGTCCTTTCCAAACCAACAAGGAATGTTTTTCAGTTTTCACTAGCTGGAGATAAGGAAAAATAGCCAAAAGTTTATACAAGACCCAACAAAATATTTTTTGACTTATTATGCTAATGCATGAATTTAAATTTCACAAGAACCGATAAGACTAAACCAGAATTGTTTTATTGCTATTTCACAGCATTGCTTTAATTGTCATAGATAATAATGACATACACTAAATTGGTATTCAAGGATATTTTGATAACTACAAAAAATGTTTTAAATTACTCACAAAAACATAAATCTCTAAGCACTGGAAACAAATTGCTACTGTGTGTGCATGAGTACTATCATCTTACAGAGAGGCATTTCATATCATTTAAACTTTAAATTACATTTTGTTCACCCAATAATATTCTGAAGCCAAATCAATTTTAATTTATATTTCAAACTAATTTCTGTTTCTTGCAGAACAAATTAGACTTCCAAATATTTTCCCTAGTGTCACTGGCTGTGTCCACTTTGTGATCATTCTTTAAGTTACACACTTATGGTTTCTTTTTTAATTTAAAGCTTTTGTCAGTAAGAGTAGCAGTTTCTGCTTCACAAACACATTTCAGGTAGCTTCACAAACACATTTTAGGTAATGTTCACTAGATATCATTCTGTAATACTAAAATTTTTTTTCTGAAAAAAAATTATTCAATTCCCAATTAATTTTGTTTTTCAATACATTATTTATTCTTATCTCAGTCGCTATTTATTAGATAATTATTAATGCCAGGAACAGTCCTAGTCTTATATTTGAATAAATTTTATTATCCTAAACATAACAAAGCAGTAATAACACAAATGTCTTTAGGTGAAATTATGTTATTTGGGGGATTTATAGGAGGCTTCCCAAAGACAGAGATAACCTTACTAAAGAGTACCTCCTACTAACTGTAGTTCACATGTGTAATTCATAAAGGGTACATACTCATACAGGGTACATACATCTCTTCTGATTAATTCACTAATCCATTTATCTATTCATATCAACTCATTATAATAGCTTTAATACCACAATTCTTTGAAGTGACTAACAGGTTAAAATAGTCATGACTGGGGCCCTCACTGGTGTCGCAGTGGGTTAAAGCGCAGCACTGAGAATAGAAAGCCACTTCAGCATGAGTTTGATCCCTGCAACCCTGGAGGTGACCACATGGAGCTGCAAACAGCTCCTGACCCACCCGCTACTCCCCTCAGCAGTGTACTTCGTCTATCTTCCTGTTCTGCTCCCCACTCTGTCTCTGGTGAATCCTCTCACTGCCCCTGTAGTACCTCTGGCCTGTACCCCAGTTCTGCATGCACAAAAAAATAAATAAATCCTTAAAAAAAAAGTCATGACTGTATGAACCTTGTAAAAAACCTGAAAGTTGGAATTGAGGGTCCAGGAATTAGAATAGACTAAAATGTCTACTAATAAGGTTTTTCTTATTTATTAGTAGAATATTAAGGAAAAAGGATATTACCTTAACAATAGAATAAAATTTGGTATTTGTTAAGAGTATCAGTTATTCTGAAAATATATCATAAATAACACGGAACAACAGGCTGCTGTAAGAAATCTTAAGTAATTAAATGTGAGTGTGAATATATGAATATATACATGTGTGTACATTTATGTGTATGTATGTGTGTGTATTTATTTACACGCATTTAAAATTTTAAATGTTACACTCTAGAAAAATAGGAATTCAATACAAAAGCTGTAATCTGCTTAATAAGGCCTTTAATCTCAAATATTTTCATTTTGAAAATTTTCATAATTCGATAGTATTCAGCATGCTTATACTTGAAATATCAGGACTGTCAGAAATATATTTAGAGGGAATTGGATGAAAGAGCTAAGATTTTAATTTTTCTATCTATCCATCAAAAAGAAACATTCATCAAAAAAGTTACTGTCAAACATTATTTTAATAATTAAGATATAAGGGTGATTTTATCATTTATACATAGTTTATTACATCACAACTACAAAATTCTGATTGCATATAAACACACAACCAGTACAGCAAAGCAAGGATGGTTAATAATAGAGGGTAGTTAAATGTTAGAGCATATTAAGCTTAAAATATGATAAAAGGTAAAAATGTAATTTTATATCTGTACAAAGATGACAACATTTTTATGTTATACTCTCATAGGAAAAATAGGCTAAATATTCTAAGATAAAAACCTGCATAGAAAAAAAATGAAAAGTCCCACCATCTCAAAAATATCTATAAATATACTTTTTTGGTGCCCCAGTATCATACAAAATAAATGCTTCTGTGCATTTAGCTTAAGAAGTTAAGTTAAATTACCTAATTTCACCAAGTTCTATTTTATAAACTCTCTAGAAACCAATTCTTTTTTATCTCCCTCCTACCCCCCTACTTCAAGCTTTTATTGACTCAGTCATGAGGTGTTGCAACAGTCTCCTAATAATGAGCTGCAGCCTTTCTAATATTGATTGCATAGGCATAATCAGAATATTTATCACCTGGTATCTTTACGGAGTCTCTCAAAATCTCAGATGGGTAGTAACTCTGTACTAACTAAAATAATCAACACCAATAGTCTTCTAATTTGTCTGCTTTAAATAATAAAGAAACACAAACAACTTTCCATCTGAATCTCAAATATCTACTTTTTTAGGCTGTTGATTTGGCACACATTCTGAAAATGGAACTCAGACCAAGAAATCAGTGTCCTAAGACCACAATGCAGCAGAAAGAAAAATGCACTATGATCCCAGAGGCAACAGTGCCTCAATATCAACCTATCACCTAACAGATATTTACTAAGATTTAGATGCAAGATACTTTGAAGAAAGCAGAAAACAAGCCTGACCTCTGGCCTTCTGCTTCAGTTGAAGTACTGTTTTACAAAGGATGCTAGTGTTTTATAATTTCTTTTTATACTATCTTTTGAAACCAGACTTTAAATTTGTTCATCTACTTTTATAACCTACCTCTTAAATGCCACTAGGTATTAATATTAGCTAACAAGCTATAACTAAAATAAAAAAAACTAACCACATTTCCAATTTGTGAAGCTCTTGAAAATTAGTGATCCATGCCACTCAAGTGATTAAAATTATTTTTAAAAATCTATAAAAACATCAATTGGGAAAACAAGATCCAAAACCATATAATAACTATATGGCTCAGTTATGTGCTGTCAAAATTCTCTGAATTAAAATACTGAATTACAGCCCTCCCTGGTAGTGCAAGGGGTTAAAGCGCAGCACTATGAAACCACCTACTGTCACTGCAAAACATGAATTTGATCCCCAGCGAGCTACCCAAATGGTGCAGCAGACCATGCCTGTCTCGCCCTCTGTTCCCTCAGCAGTGTATTTCAGTCAACCCGCCTGTTCTGCTCCCCAGAAAAGAAGAGGTTAAGAAATCAAAGTTAAAACATTAAAAACATTAAAAATACCAACCTCTTGAAAACATAAGTAGAAGCTAACATGTAATCACTATACTTAAAGCTCATAGTCTCCATAAATCACTGTCACTCTAATCCAATTTCATCATCTTTTTTTTTTAAATCCCTACTTTTCTTCTTTCTTAAACATTCCCAGCATTTAAAATTTTCAGTACTGTTCAGCTCTATATTTCAAAATTACTTAGAGTGTTGATCATTTATTTTGGTAGAGTTAAGGAAGTTAACAAGTTAGAGACAAAGATAAATGAAGAAGAAAGTGTATCATAAATTAAAATCCAGACTAATTATTTAGCCTTTGACCACTGTGTTGCTTATAGCTTTATAAATCAGTAAAATATTGATTATTAGCTTGAAATTATAATACCATAAAAGCATAGTTGTTAAGCATATCTCTAAATAATTAAGAGTTTACTTCATATGGTAAAAAAACAGTACCAGCTCTTTATCCATAGTACCTCAAGAGGGAAATCCTTTATGCTGACATCTACAAAAGATTGGCAGTAATGAGGATCCATGTAAATCAAACTGTCATCTACAAGGACAAAACAGAAGACAAGTAATTCAAAAAACACCTTATTATTACACTGCTTACAATCCAATTTCTATGTAGAGTAGCTGAAAAAAATCTGGGAGTAACAGCTTGCCAGACTGATATTCATTGACTGAAACATAGGTTTGCACAGGACAGATTAACTTTTGCATAATGAAATATGCTTGTATAAGCAGAATTTTTATAAAGTGATGAAACTGTCATTTAATTTTTGGTGATAAAATTACTTTCACAAACACACAATTATATTCTACAGTTTGCACATGAAAAATGTATTGTACTACTTTGTCCTGACAGGAAGAACATATTGCTTGTCATTTTATCATCAACTAGCACCACTAAAACTGGTAAAAAGTAAATATGTAAATAGCAACTGCCAGAATATGGCAACAATGTCTTCTGAAGTTTAGTGAAACCAATAAATTATGCCTTGTTTATGCAATAACAGAAATTAAACATACATTTTACAGAATCCAATTATGCTGTGGACCAAATGACAAATGAGTGGCCATGGTAGGACAGATGAATTTATAAAGTACTCATTTTGCTCAGTTAATCATCCTGTTTCCAGATAATATCATATTAACTCTCTGACTTTTAAAAGAAAACAGCGAAAAAATAAATTTTACTAAATCACTAACCTTGAAATCCAGCAAAATAATATGACTGCTTAGGTTTGCCACCAATAATACCCACACAATATTCAAGGCTTAAAATACCCTGCCAAAAACAAAACAAAATTTATGCAGAGTTAGAGATGAAACAAATGGTAATTACTCAAAACAAACCAATTTTGTATTACCAAGATTAGTAATTCCCAAGCTTTTTACCACCAGTTTTATTTTTATTACATTTCCCCCCATGTTCTGATATCCCTTTACAATGATCACTCAACATGAACACGATGAAATTAAATATTCTGATGCATTTATCACTAAACAATTACTATGTGCTAGACACAGAGATAAACATTACCATCTTAAGGCAATAAAATCCCCACCAAAGTCAAAACACTTGACCTTTCATTAGCTGGTACAGCCCTTATCAAGATCACTGTAACATTTTCATTAGGTTTTTTTAACTAAAAATAGTTCTTAGACGTTGTTACTGTTTCTAGTGAAGCTTGAGTGTTAGAATCAAAACTAAAAACCATTTTTTAGTCAACAGGAAAACACCTGACAAATTATTTATGCTATTTCATTTGTACTAAGTAATGAAAACAATTTAATCCAAGAAAAATACCTATTATTGTACTTAAGGCTAATTTTACAAAACATCAAAGATACCTCAACTTCTATTCTAAGCAGAATTCTATTTAAATTGGGCCAAATAATCCTATATCTATTTTTTTTTAATGTCCAGTGCAGTTAGTAAAAACTTGTACAGTGGAATCAATGTTTTGTCGAAAGTTTATGCATTTATTTTAGCATATATTAGAAGACACAGTGATAAAGATATTTAAAACCACAAAAGTGCTAATCTTAAATGATAGACTTTTGAAATTAGATTATATAAGAATAAAGAATGTATGAATAAAGCTTTTCTCCTTTAGCAAGTAAGCAAATCACTATTTTTTTTTCAGACTTAGTTTCTCAAAAATAAAATGTTTCTTGGAGCAGGCGAGAAAATAATAATAACAATGAACAGCTATGTACCAGAGGTGTTTTATGGGGGTGGAGTGGGGAATGAGATCAAAAAGAGTTTGGGAGGGAAATGCACTGGACGATGGTGATGGCACATGGGTGATTTGGCGATGGGAAGCCCACCGGGATTACAACTGAGATGGAAAAAGGCACAAAATTATGTAAAAATAAACTATTATATATATATATTTTAATTTAAAAAAATTAAATGTTTCTAAGAAAATACTGGAAAAAGTAAAAAATTCACAAAACTCACAATTCATCATTATTAATATTTGGGGAATATTTTTCTTGACATCTCTGTATATTACTTAGATTCACTAGATTACAAATACATTTTTAAATATGTGGACATCATACAGTGTATGCTATTGTGACTTCGGTCTCTCATATCATAAGCATCTTTTCCTACCAATAAATATAGAACTTTATAATAATATTTAGTGGACATAAAATATCCTATTTTATGAAGACAATAAAATGTGCTTTAAAGTTCCCTTTATGGATATTTGTTACCAGGTTCTCATTATGACAAACAACCCTCTAAAGAAGATCTTGTATTGTGGGTTGGAAGAATTAATCTTATTAAAATATCCATTTTAAATAATATGTATATTTAACACAATCCTTATCAAAGATGTTTCAATGGAAATATCTTCAAAAAAATGGATTAAACATTACTGAATTTTAGATGGAACCACAAAAGACCCAGATTAGCCAAAGCAATGTTGACAAAAAAGAAGGGGAATGGAGGCTCACTGAAGACTTCAAACTATATTACAAGGCTATAATAATTAAAGTAGTATAGTATTGGAGTAAAAGTTGACACACAGACCAAAATTTAGAACTGAGTGTCCATGAAAAAACCTGTATTTAAATGGACAGTTAGCCTTTAACAAAGGAGCCAGGTGTATACATGCAGAAAGGAAACATCTCTTCAATAAATGGTGCTGGGATGCTGGGACATGCAGAAAAATTAAACCAGACCATTTTCTCATACCATACACAAAAATTAACTCAAAATAGATTGAAAACTTAGATGCAACACTGAAAATCATAAAATGTACATAAGAAAATATAGGCAAGCACTGAGTCCAGTGATGTCTTTGGGTATTCTACTCTAATAGTGAGAAAAACAAAAGCAAAAATAAACAAATGTGGTATGATAACACACTTGAAGGGGTCAATCCTTTAGCTCTAAAACAAATGCAATATTGTAAAACAATGCTAGTTTATTTTTTTAAAAAATGGGTCTACATCAAACTAAAATGATTCTGAATAGCAAAAGAAGTTACCATTAAAACAAAAGGACACCTGGGCCTCCCTAGTGGCAAAGGGGTTCAAGACAATACTATCGAGCTATTGGCAGCCACTGCAGCTGAGTTCGATCCCTGGCCAGCCAGGGAGCTGACCCACAGGGTACAGTAGATCTCTCCTGTCTTGTCCACTGCTCCCCTCAGCAGTGTATTTCAGTAGACTAACTGTTCTTCCCATTCTCTCTGGTGAATCCTCTCACCCCAGCACTTCCAGCTTACACCCTAGTTCTTGTATGCAAAATAAATTAGTCTTTAAAAACTCAAGAACAAAAGACACCTTACTGAATTTGAGAAATTATTTGCATATCACTTATCCAACAAGCAGTTAATATCCAAGATCTATAAAGAACTCTACATCTCAACAAAAAGAAAATAAAAAACCCAATCAAAAAATGAGCAGAAGAGCTAGACACTTCTCCAAAGACATACAGATGGCCAATAGGTACATGAAAAAATGTTCAACATCATTTGATATCAATATCATCAGGGAAATGCAAATAAAAACCACAATGAGACATTCAATCTTATGATTGGCCCATATCAGAAAGACCAGAAGCAACAAACATTGGTATGAAAAAAAAAAAAAGAAACCTCAAACACTGCTGGTGAAAATGTAGACTGGTCTATCCCCTATAGTACAGTATGGAAGTTCCTCTAAATATGAAAAATAGATCTACTGAATGATTCAGCAATTCCACACCTGGTTATCTACCCAAAGAATACAAAAATACTAATTTGAAAGAATGTATATACTTCTTTGTTCACTGAAGCACTATTGAAATAGCCAAGTTATGGAAACAGCCTAAATGCCCAAGGACAAAAAGTGGATTAGAAAACTATGGACTCTATAATAATGAAATACTACTCAGCTGTTAGGAAAAAAAAAAAAGATGACCTCTTGCCACTTGTCACAACATGGATGGAGCTGGAGGTTATTGTGATAAGTGAAATAAGTCAGAAAATAATAATAATAATTAAGCTAGAAAAACAAATACTAGACAGTTTCATTTAAAGGTAGAATATACAGAAACAAAGGTACTCACAAAACTAAAACAAATCCTAGCAAAATATCTGCAGAGCAGAGGCTATCAAGTGGGAGGGGAAGATTTGTACAAAGAAGGAGGGGCCTATGGTCTATGGTAAGAGATGTAAATACATTCCTGGCAGATGTGGTGGTACAGTAACCTATCTGAGGATGTGTGAACCTGTTCCCCAAAACCATAGACAGGGTTGTAAACCAGTGTTACTCAATTACAAAAAATAAATAAATAACAACCTCGTGTATTTTTAGCCTTGTGAAAGTATCAGATATTTTTGGTAAGGAGAATTGCAACTAAAAGAATTAAACACAACAGAAAAGGCAGATAAGGTTAAATTTGAGAGCAAACTCAGCCCTCCCTGGTTGCACAACAAGTTAAAGCACAGCACTGTGAAACTGTCACAGCCACTGCAGCACAGGTTCAATGTCCGGCTAGGGAGGTAAACCACATGGCAAGGCAGACCTCTCCTGGCCGACCTGCTGCTCCCCTCAGCAGTGTGTTTCATTTTATGTGCCTGTTCTGCTCCCTGCTCTGTCTTTGGTGAAGCTTCTCACCCCCAACACCTTTGGTCTACACCCTAGTTCTGTATGCATAAATAAATAAATCTTTAAAAAATATTTTAGAGCTAACTCAATAAGAAATTAAAATGAATTAGATCACAAAAAAAAAACCCTGATAATAATAGTTATTTATCATTAAGGATTCTATTGCTTTCATTCTAAATAAAAATCCTTAACACAATTAGAATGCCTTTTAATTTCAGGCACTCTGAGCAACTGAAAAACTGGAAAAAATATATAGATATATGTGTTTGTGTGTATATATTTTCTTATTATATATGTTATATATAGAGAGAGAGCAAGAATCATGACTGAGTATCTTTAGAAAAAGAATGATTCCAAGAAGTAGAAGAATTTGGTTCTTGACGTGTATTTCCATTGTAACAGACTAGAGCAAATTTTGTAATAATCACTTAGAAGCAAACGCCACCATATAAGAAGCTGAATCTTGAGAAACTTGAAACACTCTTCAATTCCCAAAAAGCTTTCTTAACAGTTATCTAGTGGCAAGAATTTATTGACCTGTATCTATGATACAATAAATAAGACTGAAGTGATCATTCAAAAGGAACGTCCTAATTTGTCTTGTTGAAAAAGAACATATTGGATATTCCTCATTCCAGGACCTTTAAAAAATAAATAAGTAAACCTCCTGTGGTAAAGGCTGATAAAACACCACACCAAATTTCTTTCTCCTCAGAGGATGTCGCAGATGATACCATCTCTGAAATACTGTGGAACTCCCTTGATTAAAACATTTGAAAAATAGAACTCAAGATGAATTTTAGAGTGTGGAATGTACAACTGTTCAGCAAGAAAATATACAGTAGTTATTGAAGAAAAAAGGAGGAAATGGAGGAGAGATAAGGTAAAGGGCGGAGGGTGAAGATGGATGTGAAGAAGAAGAGGAAGTAGAAATGAAAGAGGAAGAGAAATAAGATTTTTTCAAGATTATTAAAAACACTACTTTTTCACTCCAAGGAATGACTCTACAGGCTCTCATTCTGACTACCACCCCGAAGACTTTCTAAGCAAGCTTATCACCTAGAATATAACCTACTTCACTCAGCTATTTCATCCATTTTTACCTGATAACTGAAAAATTATAATGTCTCAATAGTCACTGCTCTCTCATTTTTGGATTAACGTAAATTAGAAGCTCAAAGAAATTTTTTTTTAAGTCTACACTTTAGGGAAAAATATGAAGTTTCTAATCTCTAACCAAGTTGTGATCTGAACTCACTCAAATGGCTTAATTTCTTTCTTCTGTCTTATAAATACAAATTACTTCTAAACTATCATGAGGACAAATGAGACAAATATGAAATCTGAAAGTGCTATACAAGTATGAGAGATAAATGTTTGATGAGTGCTTTCTAGAGCAAGGTACTGAGGTTTAGCTTCACAGCTGAACATGATTCACCTAACCATAATGTAGGTGCCAGCCAGTCACTCCAGTGCATTAGGCAGTCCTGCCATCTGATGAACACTTTCAGTACCACCAAACAGTAAAGCCCTCAGCCAGATGGGCTACGGCCATCTGCAGCCCACGCCACCAGAAGGGTGGCTTCACTAAATGGATCAGTTAAAATTGTCTCAGATCTGATCTTCACATGCTACTATAGAAGCAGAGGGAATTCAGTTCAGATCTGTTTAGAACTTGAGACATGACAACATGCCAGAAATCCCAAAACCCTCAATGAATTTAAATTATAAAATGGTTCATAATTTTCACATTCTACCAATAATGCTACTAAAGAACCACTTTAGAAGTCAAAACCCCATTTTTATCTAGGGAATTTTTATTATTGATCTATTATTGTTAATATTAGTTAACAAGTAAGTCTCCAAAATTTTACTACTCTGAAAAGCCAACAAGCTAGAAGACTTCTACATATCATGTACTGAAAATGGCCACCCTAAACTTTTAGAATCAGCGCAGGCTAGCCTGAGTATGTATGTTCTATCTATAAATAATATATAGCCACTACAATATGGGAGAAATGTTTCATGTGAGGAAAAAATTATTACCAAATAATAAAAGACAAATCTAGACTTCATTTCAAAGTTACTATATGCCATTACACTCCACTCAAAGAGGAATTCCATTATAGGTATTGAAAAATTGAGGAATTTTATTAAAACTCTGAAAATAATATAAATACTATATAATCTCAGTCATAAACTAAGTAGCTCAGTTATTTTTATGACAATTGTTTTGATGACCAAAACAAAATAACATAGATTCTTCTATAAAAAAGAATTATGTGTTTTGAAATAGATCAGGTTTTTAAGTTATTAAAGTGAAGACAGCAAAGTTGTCATCTTTCTATGTAAATAATCATAACTTTTTATTGACCTCATGGTGGCATAGGAATTAAGAGAAAATGCAGCAATAACAGAAAATCAGATTGTTTCAAAAATTAACCAAATAGAACTTAATATGGATTTTACAAATAATCAAAGGTAGACATTTTTTAAAATCCCAAGTAAGGATATATAATTGTAGCCAGATTGTAATTATTGGTCTGTCTATGGATCTTTCATTAATTACAAAGATTAAAAGGCTGTTCAGTTATACTCTCCTAATCACTACCAATCTTGTGATACTGAAATTTGAACCCTCTAAGGTCAAACTTTAAAATCTACTACTACAACTATAACTATTCATTTAACAGAAAGACTGAAAACTTTTTGTATTTTTCGTATTAGTTAACACTGTCTTTAAAATTTTGAGTCCTTATCTCATACCTTTACAAACTCTAAGTAGTCGATGTTGGTTCTTTCTCCACCAAGTCTAACTGGAACTAGAATAATAACCGCTTTGTCATCTGTATTATTAGAGGCCATGGAAGTGCACTGCTTATCGATTACATCAGAACTGTAAACTGAGAAAAACATAATGAATACATATTAAAGTTTATTAAAATGATTTTCAGAATTATTTTTAACCCTTACTCCTCTGCTCCCTCCTCCCATTAGTTAGTCATCTGATCTGACTTCATTATCAAGGGCTTAGCTAGGTAAAAATACTTACCAACCTCATTCATGTATTCAATAGATACCTGATAGGCAGCTTCTATATGGCATTGACTTATCATTGACTTATCATTGAATTATGAGCAAAATGGCAAAAATCATATAGCATATGCTCAATATAGTAAACCAGGCAATAAGTAAGTAAAATAACCAGTACATCAAATGACAGATGCTTTAAAGAGAAACAAAGATAAAAAGATAAGTAAGTAAAGTTGAAAAGGGAAGCAACATAAAATAAGATAGTAGGGAAGGACAGAAGAGGAACTAACATTTGAGTCAAGACTTAAAGAAAGAACCCAATAATACAGATACTTGGGGGAAATCACTCCAAGCAGAAATCAGCCAAATGCAAATACCTTTAGGTAGAAGCATAACTACCATGTTCAGGAACAAAAATCTAGTGAGGCTGGAAGAACATGGGCAAGGGCTACAGGAACAGGAAATGAAGTTTGGAAATAATTATAAATGGAGAAGGACCAAGAGAGATCAGGTGAATTCTTACAAGCCATTGTCAAAACTCCAGTTTTTACTCTGAGTGAGTTAGGAAGCCACTGAAGAGTTTCTTTAAGGAAAAGCATGAGCTGATTCACAATTTACAAGCCCCATTCTTGTGTTGATGATAGATGAGATGGGGAAAGCCAAAAAAGAAACAGTTAAAAGATCATTGTAGGAATCCAGTGAGACATGAGGGTAGCTTGAACAAACGCAATAATTTTGAAAGCAGAGAATGTCATGGGATGGTCATGTGAGGTAGGGAAAATTATCAGTTTGAAGATAACTCTCTACTGTAGTAAATGTAAGATGTGAAAGAAAAGGGAGAGTCATGGTGATTTGAAAAGTTTTGATATAATCAAATGGAGTAAGAGATGGAATTTACAAAGCTAGAGAAGACTTCTGGATAAGAAATATAGAGGGGAGGATTGAGAATTCAATTTTAAACATGCTAACTTTGAGATAACTATGAGACATACAAGTAGAGATGATAAGTAGGCAAATATGTACCAAAAAGTCCAGATTTGGGGAGAAGTTCAGGATGAACCTATACATTTGGGAGTTGACAGTATATAGTGGTTCTGTAAAGCCAGGAAATTGGCTGAATTCAAATCTGTGTACACACACACACAAATGTCTAAAGGCTGCACACAACAACAATTTTAAGGTTCATCAAGATAAGGAAAAAGCAGTAACAGAAACAGCAAAGGAGTGGATAAGTTAATAGTGTTCTAGACAGCGAGTAAACTGAATGTAACAATATGGAGGAAGTAGTCAATTGTGTCAGATGCTATTGATACATTATGTGATATGAGGACTGAGAAGATTTAGCAAGATTTAATCCTTCCTAAGAGCTGTGGAATAAAGGGCATAAGAGTGTAAGTGGAATATTCAAAATAAACAGGAAGATTTAGTGGAAGCAAATTACAGAGGAAACTTTTGTTTTGTTTAACAAAATATTCAAAGCTTCCTTTACACCCACACTCTCTGTCAGTTTAATTAAACATTTCCGTTCTTCCACAGTTGGTTGATTAACAAATTCTGTCATTTACGCTCCAATTTTTCTCTAAATTCCAAATGTAGATTATAGGCTATTAAGTTTCTTCTGCATATCAGCTTCCCAGGCTCCTATAGTCAATCTAAACCAAAGCTACAAAAATGTCACAATAGATTTTCCTACATTTCAATTTCATCATCTCACTTTCTGTAAATGACTCAGAAGTGACTTCCAATTATAAACCTCTAATTTCCTCATTTTTCAAAGTTCAGCATCTTTGACTTTCTTAACTAGAATGCCCTCCAATCAAATGAGTTTCCTTTCATAGATGTCACTTTACTCAAATACTACTATAAGACAAAACAATACCACTGACATGTACAATTTCTCCTTTATCTAATGTCTTATCTTCATTCAACACACATGTACGAAGAGGCTATTTATTGTGGTTTTCCATGAGAGGGAGGGGAAGTATAAAAGAAAACAATATCCTAATTTCAAAGTACAGTCATTTTGGTGTTTTTCTTCAACTTCCAACATAGTTAAGGGCTACGAAGCATTTCAATTCTGAATCAGAGGCTCACTATAGCAGTGACCCCCAACCAAGTGATTTGGATACTTTTCCCCTATCCCTGCTACATGGTGGTACTGCAACCGAGTTACAAATGTGATATTTAATAGGTAACTCCAAAATGTTACAGAGCAACAATAAAAGTGAGGAAAAGAAACATTTTTTGCCTGATGGGAATTGGGAAAGACTTCCCCAAAGGAGTAAACTTGGAGCATGTTCTTAAAGAATTAGTAATCTTTAACAAGAGACACTTGAATAATAAAGGACATTCTAAGAAGAGACACTAGTATGCACAAAGACATGTAATGAAAGCATATAACATTATCAATATGTCCAAGGAATCACTGAAGGTTAACAGTATTCTGGTATACTATTAACTGGTATACTGGTATGGGAGATGGCATTGGGAGGTGATGCTAGACATGTTGTTTCAAATTGTGAAGGACTTTACTTGCCTTATATACTAACATAAATTGTGATTAGAGATAATGGACAATCTTTAAATTAGGAGACACAATTAATTTCTTTTGATTTTATATATTAAGAGAAAAGACAGGGAAATCAAGTTAAAGCCCAAATTAGAGATGAGTCTGATCTAAGTCCAATCACAATCTAAAATGCAGAACCAATTTCAGAAGCATTTTTTAAAGTGTAATTGGTAAGCTTTGACTGGCTGGTCACACAGAAATGATGAGAAAAGAGTCAAGAACGAGTGAGTGAACACAAATGGCCATGATAACTGTACGTGGAGAGGAAACGAAGCAAGAGTAGGGCAGAGGAAAGTAAGTTCACTTTAACCATGCTGAATTTGAAGTGTCTGTAGAAAATCTGGAAGAGATACTTGAAGGACAGCAGATAATATAAGTTACCTACAGTAGCACAAGTAGCAATTGAAATTTTTTTTTAAAGTCCTCCTTCACAGTGAGTGCCTAGTCCTAACTACAACAATGGAAAGAGATGCAATTACAAAGCAAAAAAATACAGAATGAGAGGAGAAAGTGAGTGGAGTATAGAGCCTTTGAAAACAGACAGAAAAAATTGATAAACACTTGCTTCACCTAATTTCTAACTAGCAATCTATCAAAACTCTAACATAAAGTCCCCCATTAGGATTCTTAAAATACCAATGTTAGAATTTTAAGAACTACTTCAAATTACACAAGCCATTGATATAATGAGGCACTTTGTGCTATTTAATTAAGTAAAAATGTTATACCAAAAGACCAAAGCTAACTGCTATCAATAAAAGTACAAAGGCAAATTCATAAATTTATTTAAGCATACTCTTTAGCTTAAGTTTAACTGTTAACAAAGCACATTTGATTTTCAAGACTTCCTCCTATGTGGAGAAAAAAAAAAGTACCTGAAAAATTCATAGTCACCTGAAAATTTACAACTTTTACTTCCATATAGCTGTAATAGTGGCTATCAGTCTCTCTTTAAAAACTAATTAACCTTAACAAAAGTCAAACAAAATGCATGTGTGCTTAGTAGCCATTCTTTCCACACTAAAAACAATTAACTGGGTAAAGTCTCTTATAATAAACATGGCTGAGATCAACTTAACTTCCTTAAAACATTAATGTACTTTATCCTATTAATAGCATTTCTTTAAAAAATACTAGCAGTATAAGGTGATTTATTTTCTAGGGACTTTTATTTTATTAAGAAACTAAGGCCTCTATTTCACCCCCAACAAAATTTCAAAATTATTATTGGCAATGGTCATTAAACAAAAAAACCAAAGTAAAATTATGGACAATGGCTATACTGTTATAGATGATCAGCTGAGGGACTAGTGAAAACCACATAAACGGAGAATTTTCCTTCCTTGACACATTATCCACTGATGAGATAGTACCTGAGACACATTAGTCTGAGTATATTCACCTATTTTAAATATTCCCATCTATCTGTTTCAAACTACTCATTTGAAATATAGGAAAATCTTTAAAATTTATTTTAACATTGCAGTTAATAATTCATAGTATATCAAGGAACATTTAATAAGATCCTACTATTTATAGAGCACTATGTAGGAATAAAAATGGTCCCTACTTTCATAATCATAAATGATTAATTTTGGTTTATTTGGGATAAACTTTACATCCTATTGGGATAAGCTGAATACACAGAAAAAGTGTGACCAAATAAACAGAAAAAAATTAAATTATATATATTCCTTACCTGTACAATCTTGTGCAACATAAATAGTTATTCCTTGTAAATCAGGGTGTCTTGCTTCTTCAACAGCTTTTCTAAGAAAATAACAAGTATCATCCTTCAAATTCCTACCTAACATCTCTATTTAGTAATTAGAGATTTATTAACTTAAGGGGAAAGGCAATTTCCTGACTTCTCTATTTAGCCCATACTGTCTGCTTTTAAAACTGTAATGTGAATTGTATCAGAAATCAGGTAAAAATGGACTATGGTGGAGGACTATAGTTGTCTGCTGTGGTGGGTGTGGTGTGGCAACAGACATCTGAAGAAGTGGCACACTACTCTGAATCATGTACAGCGTGTAAATCAAAGTTATCTCAGCTTTTAAAACAAGCAAAGAAATAGTGCTTCAATGAACACTGCAGAGTAGAAAGAAAAAAACTAAACCAGATCAAGTTTTTCAAAGTCGAATACTAACATTAAATTACTCAAGGAACATTAAAATATCAAGTACAAATATGTCCAGAAATTCTTGGGTACAAAGCTATAAACCCCACCCCCTAAAAAGGACTTCTCTCAAGCACTTAGCTGGCTTTATTTGACATATTCTTACAAGTGGTTTTACATATGTTTCAAGGTTTGTTCCATATTAAATTACTAATTAGCATTAAATTCCATATGGTTGTTCTCTGGCACATTTAAAGTTTTTTTTTCCTTTCTTTCAACAATAGCATGATTTTTTCCCCTTCATTCAAAAACCTTTATTACTTGAACAAGTAAATTTCCAAATTTCAAGCCCTAGAATTCAGTAAGTAAAACTATGCATTTGAGTATAATGAGTATATCAAAGATGCACATGATATGAAAAAAAATCAAATTAATGGTTTAAAATATGCAAATTGTGGAATTATAAATAGCCTTATTTACCTATATCTTTATAATTTTTCAACTTAACATGCTTTATTATGCATATTTGTATCTGTTAATATAGAAGAAAGATTGACAACTATGACCTCTAGGCTGTTTTTGTTTAATCTACAAATAAGAATGGTTTGTACAGCTTTAAAAGGTTGCAAGAAAACAGAAAACAAATGGGCAATAAAGTCCATAAAAAGGCCACAAAGTGTAAGGCATTTACTATAAGGCCTTTTACAGAAAAATATTTTGATTCCGAATCTTAAAGAACAAATCTTAAAGAACACAACTGTGTTTTATACTTTTACAAATGTCATATCAAGTTGAACCTGATATTATTATGAACACTTCTTTTATAACTTTAGGCAAATACTTTTTCAATTGGAAGCACCTAGTCAAAAAAATATAGAGGTGTTTTAATATGCAAAAGACAGCAATAATTTCAAACTCATGCTTGATTTTAAAGTGGAATGAAGTTATAAAATTAAAATAGCAATGATTCTGGTTACAGTAATAAGATAATTTTTTTTAAAAAACTTAGTAGTATTCAAACAAATCACACAAAATCTGAGATATAGTCAAATTTAACTTTTGACTTTTTTCTAACTATTCTGACTGGAATAGACCTTTGACTTTTATTACAGCATAATTATAAAATTAATAGCCCCAAATCTACAACACACAAAAATTTGATGTGTGCATAGAAATGCTGACATCATCAAAATTTCATTATACTATCAGTACATTAAAGGCCCAGGTTGGGCCCTCCCTAGTGGCACAACGGGTTAAAACAGAGTACTATGAAGCTGTTTGAAGCCCCTGCAGTACAAGTTCGATCCCCAGCCTGGGAGATGACCCAGATGGCATGGCAGACCTCTCCTGACCTGTTCGCTGCTCCCCTCAGCAGTGTATTTCAGAGCATCTGCCCTTTCTGCTTTCCACTCTATCTCTGGTGAATTCTCTCACCCCCTCACCTCTGGCCTATATCCCAGTTCTTATATGAATAAAATAAATAAATCTTTAAAATAAATAAATAGATAAAAATAAAGCCCCAGATTATACTATCTAAAAACAAAACAAAACTTCATGTTATGCATATTCCAAGATTAAAAGAGTTGTTCGTTTTTAGAATATTTCAAATACGTAAGCTAAGGAAAATTTGGTTAGAAAGTGACCTTGGACATCTGTATTTGTGAACAACAATAGAAAAATTGTCAGTAGATAAATGTAACTAGTACAATATGTATTAATTTCACTATTAGTAAGTGAAAGCTCCTTCAGCTACACTTAAAATTTCTAATCATGTATGTGCCCTGTGCACTGCAGGGGTGCAGTCAAATATTCTACCACTTAGCTATACCTCCAAAATCAGTGTCTCTGAACTTGAAGACCTCTGTGATAAGAGGAAAGACAATGGTAAAACAATGTTACCTTAAAATGTGTGCAACCACAGCTGGTCCATACCAATCTCCAGCTTTTTTCCCAGATTTCTTCCCATATTCTATTAGTTGATGTAAGCCAAAGACAGCCAGTGGGGAGTCACCAAACCAGGAGATAATTTTCCTGTGATAAATTTCATTTCGCATTTCATGATCATCAGAACATCTCCCAAGTGTTTCCTTCTGAGAAATTTTGGGGGTTTTGAATTCTCTTTCCCCTGAAAGCGATGCTTCAAATGATGCGGTAAATTTTTTTACAGTGTGGGAAGTCCATGAATCAGAGTCTGAATTTTCAATGTTCAGAGCATCAGGCCAGGTCCAAGCTATAGTAGTTCCAAAGCAAGGTGTTCAGATCTTTTAAATTGTTACACTTTCACAGTTCTACTAAAGTAAATACATTTAAAGTCATGTGGGTTACTAAACTAAAATAATAAACTCAACAATAGGCAAATTTACAGAGACAAAAAACAGATTAATGGTTTACTACTGGGGAGATACAGTAATTGGGAGTGACTACTAATTGGGTATGAGGTTTACTTTTGGGGATGATGCAATGTCCTAAAATTAGTTTCCGGTAATGACTGCAGAACTCTGGGAGTACATTAAAAAAAGTGGATCTGTTTTTTAAATACATAAATGTATGATATGTAGATTATATAGCTGCTCCAAAAAAAAAAGGTATAAGCAGAGAAAACATGCCATTGGTGTTTATTTTGAATGGTAATATTTTTCTCTGCATTCTTCTATAGTTCCCAAAACTGCCAATAAGAATGTATTATATATTACCATGAAAATAATACCAAATGAAAGAGAAAAAAAAATAGTAAACTCAGGTACAAATGAAATATTCTGGACTGCAGATTTCTTTCTTTTATTTGACATTTTCTGAGATGGAATAAAAACTTCTGTAGTCCATTACTAGTACTGCTTATCAGGCATCCAGTCTTGACTACCCAAAGGCACAATAAACATATTCACTAACATTCACAGTATTCATGAGAGAATAACTTCAGAAAGTAGACTGGGTATGTGTTAAAATAGAAGCCTGATCATGAAAGTTTTAAATTTCTTTTCACAATGTTTTTTTCTTATATACTCCTTTCAAAATAACTTAATCACTGTTTAGGGAATAATATTAATTCTTTAGTAAATGACAAAATAATAAATGAAGTCAATAAAGGTCAAAGATTCCAAGAAAATCAAATATACTCACTATTTCAATTATTTATATAACAAGACAGTCCCCAATCATATAATTTTAATAAAATGAATTACAGACTCAGAGACTTCATCAAGACTATGAAAAATATTCTATTTCTTGCCTGTAATTTCATAAATAAATAAATAAACCTCAGGGGGAAAAAGTAAATCATCTCAGAAAAGTCTAAAACTCTTTCTTTGCATTATCCATACCATTCTTGAATAAAGTCTCAAAATATTGTCAATAACCCTTGCAAAATGTTACTAAATATTTGCCAAGCATTGCAGAGAAACTGTCTAACACCTCAAAACTATACTAATGACTAGTCATAGTAGCCTAAAATGGTAAACTAAACATATCCTTAAAATGTACACATTATAATAGCAATGGTAAGAAAGATGACACCTTAGGAAAAAATTTATATATGTAAGTTAGGTAACAATGGTAATCTTGAGAGTCTAAAAGTTAATCATGAAGACCTTGTTAAGAAAACATTTAATCATATTATTAAAAACAAAAGTAGGTTTAAAGCATTATTGGTATATATAAAGAAAAATTTTAAATCCAGTGTAAAATCTTAAGATTTAAATAATGTAAAGATATTAACTGCTCAAAGTATCTGCTATTTACCTGCTCAATGAAACTGAAAATAATCTAGAGCATTCAATCAAAAGGAAAGAAATAGTAACAACAAAAAATCAAAGACTACTAAAAATTGAACTCATTTAATTTATAGTGGTAGCCAAGAATAACAGGTATTTTCAACATTTATTTTTGAAAGAGTAATGATTAAAATTTAAATGTAATACCTGGCTCAGTCAAAAAAGATGTAATATACTAGATTAGTTACAATTTTAAAAGATATCAGGGAGTGAACAAATTAATCCTGGGGAATTCTATACAGTTTGCAACTTAAAGAACAAATTTTTGAAAAAGAAAGACTTGATTTACCTCTACCAAGAAAATGTAGTATGAGTCCTTGAGCCAACAGCATCTGACCAGTTCTTAATGTACAGCCCCAACCACAGTCTGTTGTCAAAGCTGAGCCTTCTATTTGAGGAAATTCTTCCCTGTAAGTCAGCCATATTCTTGAAATAAAATCTTTACGAAATTCTTCCACATTTCCTGCAATTACATGATCTTCTATCGTACATCCCGATCTTGCAGGTAACAGTTTATTTTCATCTACAAATAAAAGTATAAACTATACTATAAATATATGTAAAGAAATGTCAATGATAGTATTACATTCTCATACTGTGCCTAAAATAGGGAGTATGTCATAATCTTTCTAATCTACTTACTACTTAAATGAAGATAAATATTATTCTGCCTAATCACTGTTAAGAATATCAAAGGAGAATGCATACTGAAATGTTTTATACATTCTAGCACTAATATAAAGTATTAGCATTAATACTGTTATTATTAGTAATAAGATCTTACATTCCAAATGCAGTCAACTCTTACAAAAAGGTTAAAGAAATATATTTTTCTTTTTGCTTCATTTGGCTTAGGATAGGTATTACTGCTCTCTGAAATAAGACTTGCAAATAAAAATATCTTAGTATGTCAATATGTAAAAATGCACATAAATCATTTAAGCTAGTTTTGAAAATATAAACATAATGCGCACATTATGTTTGGTGTTATGAGTATTTAAACTCAAATTACAAAAAAAAAAGCTACACAGATTAAGGTAATAAAACTTTTAAAATATATAGCTCACCTTTTTTGTTGAAATATAATTTTTTAATCACTGCCACAACATATAGATTTTAAAGACTTTTCCAAAATGATTAGCACAAATTCCTACATAAAAACTATAATCACAACCCAACAATTTGCAAAACAGTAAGTGTTCAAAATGACTTAACATTTCTTAACTCTCAGAGAGAAAATTTAAGTCTTTATAATCTCAGCATTCAGTGCCTAGCACACATAGCTACTAATAAATGTTGGTTTGGGTGGGTGACGAGGTGGATAGATTAAGTATGCCTACACTTTCAATTCAAAGGAGTTCAATTTCCAATGTTCTTTTATAGAATGTTAAAGTAGTTTTATTATTCTTCATAAATCCTCTACCTTCCAGTCCACTCTGAAGAAAATTACAATCAACCAAAGTTAATATATATTTAGCTTAGTGGAGCTAAATTGCAGCATACAGTTTCAATGAAAACAAATGCCAAGTCCCTATTATCAATTAATTTCTCTCAATATTAGAATTTGAAGTTAAATATAAATGAAAAATGCCCAGAAATTAAACATGGTACTATAAATATGTCCAAAATTTCCATTTTAGAGACATCTCAATGTTTGGAATTAATACAGTGCATAACTCTCACACCTCATCCTGCATCTTGCCAAGCATATAGTTCCTAATCTCCCACCTTAAAGAATTTATCAATTTCCTTTATCCTCCCAAGATCAGGTCTCCTCTTAATATTCTTTCTAATGATTACTAGAAAATTGCTAGTCCTAAATGAACTTTGTTGTCATTTATAACACTGCCCTTATATTCCACTTTCCATTGTGTCACAATCTTAATTATTTATACTTATGTTTTCCATCTAGTTTCAAGTACACCGGAGTAAAAGGAAGATGCATCCCTGAATCATAAGCAACATATATATATGTATACACACACACATACATATATGTGTTCTTTATATATGTGTGTGTGTATACATATATATATAGAAAGAAAAGAATGATATCAGATTTCTCTATGGAAGCAGAACAAGCAAAATATTAGTGAGGCAACATCTTTCAGCCAGTTAAAAAAAAAAAATCACAAACCCAGAATTCTATACCCAGCAAATGTCTTTCAAAAATGAAAGCAGAATAAAATCTATTTCAGAGATACAAAGCATGAAGGCTGTATCACCAGCACACCTTCACTATAAGAAGTCCTTAAGGATGTAAATACATACACAAAAGAATGAAGCACGTTAGAAATAATAATAACCACATGGGCAAAATGTGTAATTTTTTCTTATTACTAAATCTCTTTAAATGACATTTGACTATTTAAGCAAAAAGTAATAATGATATATTGTGCAGTAAACACCATACAAGTAAGTAAAATGTATGACACCAGTAGCATAAAAACAGAGAATGGGGGGGCCCTCCCTGGTGGCGCAGGGTTAAAGCACAGCACTGAGAAGCTAAAGCTGCTTCCGCATAAGTTCAATTCCCGCCTGCCCCGGAGGTGACCACATGGCGCGGCAGACCTCTCCCGATCCGCCCGCTGCTCCCCTCAGCAGTGTACTTCGTCGATCTGCCTGTTCTGCTCCCCACTCTGTCTCTGGTGAAGCCTCTCACCGCCCCTGAGCCTCTGGCCTGTACCCCAGTTCTGTATGCACAAATAAATAAATCTTTAAAAAAAAAAAAAAAAAACAGAGAATGGGGAAGTAAAATATACTAATGTGAGTTTATCAAACTCTGTGGGAATTAGCATATCATTTAAAGGTAGACTGCAGTATTAAAATAACCACTAAATCAAGTTAGAGTAAGCCAACGAAGGGATAAACTGGAATCATAGAAATATTCAATCCAAAATAAGATCGAATAGGGTAGATGACACAAGTAGAAGGCAAGTATGATAAAATTTAAACCTAACAAAATCAGTAATTATATGTAAATAATCTAAAATTTTAATTAAAAGGCAGATTGTCAACTTGGATGAAAAAGCAAAACCCAGTGACCTAAATCCTATGGCAAACACACTTCAAATATAAAAGCACAAATAGAATAAATGTAAACAATTAAAAAAAGTAAAGATATACTGCATAACCAGAAGTACATGAAAGTTGGAGTGGCTACATTAATATCAGATAAAGTAATTTTAGGGCAAATCACCAGGAATAAAGATATTCAGAATTACAAAGGGGAGAATTCATTAATTGATCACAGCTCTTCCAAATCTGTATGTACCTAGTAATAGAGCAATGAAACAATGACTGACAAATTAGAAAGAAAAATAGACAAACACACGTTATAATTCAATATACCTCACACAATGATTGATAGAAACTAGTAGGACATAATGAGAGGACTTGATACTTCAACCCACTTGACCTAGTTACACTTAAAGAACACATATTATGTGCTTTTTTCAAGCACACAGAGAACATTTACCAGGTTACCATATTTAGAACATAAAGCAAATTTCATAAACTTCAAAGATATTACAGTCATGAAAGTATTTTCTCTGGCCATAATGGAATAAAATTAAAAATCAATAAAGAACAAACTCTGGAAAATGCCCAACTCTTTTTCACTGAATCTTTAAATAACTAATTTTTTCTTGCATTCTTTTTTTAGTAAATGGCAAATGCCACATCTCAAAAGATCCTAAATTATTTTTCCACATTTAGACATAATGTTGGCAAGATGTGGAGCAACGCATCCTGAAAACAGTAGACAACACAAAAACCAAGAGCACACATAGTATGATCCCTTGATATCTTTCTTTCATGTCCTTCCTTACATCCTACAAAATGTTCCCTAGGAAAACATTCATCTGTAGGCTGGTTTCAGTTCAGAAAAAAAAAAAAAAAAAAAAACTTGTATTATTTTCTAGTCTCTATGTTACTGCTTCTACTTCTTAAGAATTGTTGTCCCTTTTCTCCATGAACTATTTTTGTCTCTAGAATAGACTGACTGTTTACTGATGCTCTTTAACCCAAAAATTAGAAAGGAAAAAGTCTTATCTCTGCTTAGTTTATATGAAATGTTTTTGGCCCGTAAAGTAGAAATGGTATTCTGGTATTCTAGAAAACATCCCAAATTATAGGTTATAGCGTATTTTTTTATAAAATAATTTTTTTCCTTAATGATCCCTGGTTCCATTGTGTCCTGAAACAAAAAATGAAGAAAACCTTAGAAAAATCCTAACCAGCTAGGAATGTTGTTATCCTGTAGAAAGGTGAAGCTTACTAAAAGATAAAATTCCAGCTGCATCTCTTAAAAATAGCTCAGAGATATTCTGTATTTTTCTTTAACTTTGGAATTTGAAGATAATTCTAAGAAGAACCATTTGGATTTTATATTAAAAAGCCTTGACATAACAGTGTACATACAGCCTTACTTCTTACACTGGAAAGAACAAATTACATCATTGGAAGAGAAACATTTGTAGTTCGGAAAACACAGCAAGATAAATTTAAAATCTTAAAAGATCAGAATGGATTTAGCATAGCTAACATAATTTTATGTTTGTAAACATGCCCTAACATAACTAAAAATTAAATAGCAGGATATCAAGTATAAAAATCTTATTTTATCATTATTAATTCATTGTAGATGATTCAGAGGGTAGTAAAATAATATCATTGTGACTGAAAGTCACTACTTTCTAAGTACTTAGAACTGTTAGCTATCAGAACATCAGATATCAGAATGCCTTTAGGATGAGAGAATTGAATCAACTGAACAAAACTATCCATCAGAATGAGAGATACTAGCTAACACAGCTTTACTAAAATCCTTAGCAGAATGATGGAATGACCAGAAATTTTCTACATAAAAGAAAAAAAAAAGCCTAGAACTATCAGGGAGAAAAAGAGGAAATAAAGGGAATCCAGGTCTGAAAAATGAATTATCAGTATTCACACAAAATGGAAAATCCTAAAGATCTATTATTAGAAACAAAAGATGAATATAGAAAGGTAGCCAGTTGCAAAATCAACATACAAAATCCGTAACTGTTTTCATATAACCCCCCTAAAAAAAACCAGAAGATGTAAAAAAGTTAAGAAAATAACTATAATTGCTTCAAAAATAATATATACTTTGAAATTGACCTAACTGAAGTAAAGGACCTATAAAATAAGAGCTACAATATGATTGAGGACTTAAAAGAACAACGTAAGAACACTGAAGCCTATCCCACTGTTCACTGATGGAGAGATTCAATATAATCAGAATTACTATCCTTCCTAAAAATATATATAAAGTTGACACACTGCTCATCAAAATATCAGCAACAGTTTTAAAGACATTGAAAAAATATATTGAAACTTATATGGATCCACAAAAGGCTTCAAGTTGCAAAAACAATCCTGAGAACAAAGGAAAGAAACAGTTATAATGTTACCTGACTTGAATCTTTAAAATAGTATTAAAAACAATATGGCATTGGCAAAGAAATAGATACATAGATGAATCAAATAGACTCAAAGCCCAACTATAAACCCAGCTACACATCAGTACCTAACCTATTGACAAAGCAGTTATGACTATTCTGTGGAGTGGGAGGATGGATAGAACATGGATCGTGGATGTCAAGGGACAGATTTGGCCAAACTAGAGCCATCCCTACTGAGAGTCCCTGTTGGTATATGAAAATGTCCTCTTATTGTTTAAGCTATTTTGAAATGAACTTCTTAACAACATTTGCATCCACTAGCATTCTTTCTAAATTCTTTCTAAATTCTTTCTAATTTAAAGGGGTTACAAATTTAGCACTTACCTTCATATTTAAAATGGTAACATTTTCCAAGCAATAATACAGGGGAATTTCTACTAAAATACGTCTTTGTTTTCAACACCCAACCTAAATGGAAAAAAAAAATTAGTTTTGTAGTTACAGGGCTTCAGATTAATAGTCTACCAGTATTTCTTTAGCTTCAAATCAGCAATTCTCAAGTACAGATATGTATTTTTTGCAAGGTAACAAAATATTTGGACAATGAACTGAATATACAGGTAATAAATGCTGCTTTCAGATAAATATTTTTAGTGACATTCTATCCACTTAAATTGCATCAAAAAATTAACCTTAATTGTAATTTGTTTTCAAATAGATCAGATGTTTTATGTATAAAATTAAAAGGTATAAATTCTCTTCCAATGTCCCTGACACCAACATTTTTTCCCAAAAACAATATTACCAATTTCATGTACTTCTTTACATCTTATGAATTATTTTAATGAAAATTCTCCCAAAAGTAATATAATACAAATAAAGTACAAATAAGTTAAAAATATGTATTTTACAATAAAGACAGCACAGTATCTGGATTTGGTTGTGAGAAAGAATGGAAAATCGAATACACAAACTTTTAAGATTTGTTCATTTTACTTTAACTTCCCCTCAATTACAAAAAAACTGTTTAAAGATTTGAACAGAATTTCAGTTATCTATATTCAATAAACCATGCCTAATCTTGAAACTTTTTTTCTTATATCACACAGTTCTGTGGGTTGACTGGACTCAACTGAATAGTTTTCCTACTACTAACATCAAACTCAATAGTGAAAAACTGCATCTATTTCCCCTAAGATTAGGAAAAAACAGAGATACCTATTCTGACCCCTTGTTCAACATAGGTTTAGAAGTGCTGTTCAAAGCAATTAGGCAACAAATATATAAAAGGGACCCAAACTGGATAAGAAGTAAAATCATCACTATTTGTATATGCCATAAGGTATACATAGAAATCCAAAGGACTTCAAAAAACTACTAAAAATAATCAATGATTACAGTGAAGTGGCAGGATACAAAATCATTATACTAAAATTTATTGCATTTCTATACACATTAATTAGAACAAAGAAATTAAGAAAAGAATATCTTTTACAATCATATCTAATGTGGTAAAATATCTGAGAGTAAACTAAACAGAGGAAACAAAGGACCTATACACTAAAAACTGTAAAGCATTGTTAAAAGAAATAGCAATAGAAGACACAAAGAAATAGAAAGATACCCAGTCTTAATAAATTGGAAGAATATACATTGTGGCCATATTGTATAATTGGCCATATTACCAAAAGCATTTTACAAATTTAGTTCAATCCCTTTGAATATCCTAATGTCACTTTCAAGGAAATAGAACAAATAATTCTGAAATTTGTACAGAATCACGAAAGAACAATCAAAACAATCCTGAAAGAAGAAAAATGAAGGTATCATGCTCTCTGACTTCATACTCTACTACAACGTGGTAGTAATCAAAACAGTATAACACTAGAGCAAAAACAGACAAACAAAACAATGGAATAAAATTGAAAGCCCAGAAATAAATCACACATGTATGGACAGTTAATCTATGAAAAAGGAGCCAAGACTGTACAATGGAGAATGGAAAGTATCGACAAGAAAGGGCATTTTGAGGAGGGGCTACATAGTATGTTTGAGTTTCCAAGCAATGTTTACCATGACTTGACATTTTCTTTGGAAACTAGTCTTATCTACATTCCTTACAGAAACATTTCACTCACAAGGAAACACAAGTAATTCTGTCATTAACTTAATAAACGTGATGATACATGTCTTCTAATAGCTTTTTAGATTCATGTAATTTTAAAATCATATACTTACTATATTTCATATTGTTCCAAGCAGAAATAAATTTAGTTTTTAACTTGTCAACTTCATCTGTTCCTGTGGCCTCCATATTCAAATTTTAAGTAAAAAGCCATCACTTGGTTGCATTCATCTGAAAATTTTAGTCTTTAGTATTAACTTCAAAGAAAAAAAAAGGAAGTAATAAGTACATACTATATGGTGCCATACCTGCTAAAGTTACTTAAGTGATTAGATACAACTTGAGCTAAAATTATCAAACCAATTTCTCATTTGGCTGAACAGAATATATCCTATAACTATTTTAATTACAAAAAAAGCACCTAATTATTCACTAAGTATAATAAATAATTTAGAAACAGTTCATCTTTGGTGCTTATGAGACTATCCAATTTTTTTTTATTGTAATGAGGGAAGGTAATTTGAAATTACCTTTTCTCTCTTACTGTTTTTGTGAGTTCTTAGTTACATTTTAAGCTCTTTTCAAAACAAAACCCTACAATTCCCCCAGGTTCAAATATGCCCTGGGCATGATCCATTGCTTTCTTGTACAAATGCTTGGTTTTCATTCACCATCATTGAATCCAAGATACAAGATTTGACAAAGCAGGACTCCCTCCATAGCATTAGTCCTTTGCTCTTTTCTGAGGAGGTAGCAGAGGACGATCTAGAAAAGACACGGAAACTCTTTCTTAGAATCAGACTGTGATAAGAAGTGCCTGCATGAACATTAGTGTTTTCCCTCACCCTTCTCCAGTTTCTGAAAAGAAGGCAGAAAATAACTTCTTTGAAGACTTGAATAACAATTCCAAAAAACAAAAATATATGCTCTCAAGGCTTTGTAATTTAAATAGTCTGGGCATAATCTTCCTGGATAGGTGGGAAAGTCCATACTCTTGAGGAAGCCCATTTTATTCTTGGTAACATGCTCGGCCATAGTATGATGAGAGGTAGGAAGTGCACACATAACTCTGAGGTCACCTGGAAATATTTCCTAGGGAAGGCAATTTCCTGACTGACTTCTTGTAAGTAAGTGACACCAAATTTCCCCAAGTGCCCCTCAATCACTGTGCTGCCTGTCAGTCTTATTCTTAACCTCGACTTGTCCATATTTCAAGATGAGTTCCTAACAAATTTCAGATTTGGAAATTCTCATGTCATGTAACATTCCATTATGGTAGTACAGTGGCTTTTTTTTTCTGACAAAGACACCACTGGAAATCTTTATCAGGTGGAGTCTTGCAGTGTTCCTTTACATCAGTAAACTCACCCAGTTAGTCCTTTACAACAAAAGCCAAAGAATGTTTATCTGACATTTTCAAGCCATGACATTTCCTGACTAGTATCCTAAGGTACATTTGGTTATGTTGTTACCACCAGGGATCATGCAGGAACCACTATATTCATTTAAATCTGAGTTCATCCCCTTTCCTCTTTCCTTTTCCAAAACTATCTGCTTTGCCTGGATGGTTATGAGGAACTAATAAACCTTCCTCTTTTTCAGATTTTCTAGAACCAAAGGGATCTTTTTTCTTTGCTCTTGCTCCACCATCTTTCCAACACTGCAGCTGCTCTGACTTGAAATCTTAAAAAAATAACTATCTTCAGAATGAAGGCTTCCATTTAAACTGATTGTTTCTACTTTCATATGAAATCTAATAGCTGTTTCATTTTTTAATTAGAAACAATTCGTACATTTTCTTCCTATTTCAATACTGCAGCATTAAAAAATAGAATAGCTTACATTTACAAAGGAAAAATATTTTCTTATTTTAAAAGAAGAATGAATGTAGTTCGTAAGTGTTTGTTTTAAACTAACTAGAGGGAAATTGAGATGTGTAATATAATCTAAAAGAGGAACAAATTATAACTGAAAATCTTTAAGCTTATTTGCAATAATTCACAGACAGTTTGCTTTTCAAAAAAATAATGTTGCACAGAACATTACCCTTTTAGGGTTATAAATATCTACTCAAAAGTACTGATACATTCACTTCTCGAACAATAGGCATCCCATTTTACAATATGTATTAAAAGCTACTAATGATATGTTACAGTTGAAGCAGGAAAGCTCATGAACTGTTAAGAAGATCTGATTAATGTGACCAGAGAACAAAAAGTTAAAAAAAAAAAGGGAACAAGATGCACCATAGGGTTAGACAGGGGTCAGAATGCAAAGGGCCTTACAGACCATGTTAAGAATTTTGTTCTTTACCCTCTCAGCAACTGGTCTCAAACAGGAATGACAGAATCAGATTTGAGAGCTTATTTGACTTCAAAAGCAGTACAGAGAATAGACTAAAAGAGAGAAGAGTAGATGTTGAGAATTTACTGTTGTATGGGACCAAGGAATAGACACTAGTGTTAGGACTGAAGCAGTAGAGATGGAGAGAAAGGGAATATGAGGAAATGTGTCAAAAATTCAGTGTCTTCGTGATAAAAATACACGTGGAGTGTGAGAAAGAGGAATATATCAAAGATATACCTTGGTCGCCAATTTGTGAAATTAAATAGATGGTGCAATCACAAGAAAATTAGGAAAGGGGAAGATTAGAAGGAGATTGTTAATTTGATATATGTGGTGATGGAGATGCCTCTGAGCATGAAGAGAATTACTCATTTATTTAATTATTTCATGAATTATTTTCAGACATTGTTAAAGACAGTACTGATACAGTTTAGAACAAAGTGAGATAAATACTTGTCTTCAAGGAGCTAACACTCTTCATACATTCTAGAGAGGCCAACTGGGTAATTGTATATAGAGATCTGGAAGTCAAAAGTGAAGTATGGGCTAGAGCTGTTAATATGACAACTGCTGATGTAAAATGAGAATTAGAGCTATAAACATTTATGTCAAGAACTTGGCCTTGTTCATATTTGCACTTCCAGCTTTGAGGATGACATACAAGATCCTTCATAAAATGATATCTGCCACTTAATCAGTTCCTCTCTCGTCACTCCCTCATAATATACTGAAGCCATTTTTTTAATCTTTTCTTAATAATATAATAGTTTATTTTTACATCATTTTGTGCCTTTTTCCATCTCAGCTGTAATCCCCGTGGGCTTCTCATCACCAAATCACCTGTATGCCATCACCATAGTCCAGTTCCAGTGTACTTCCCTCCCCCCACCATTCTTGAACCCATTCCACCCCCACAAAATGTCTCTGGATATACTGAAGCCATTTTTAATATAACTTCCTAAAGGTGGCATGCTATCGGCCATGACATGCTCTGTGCCTTTACATGTACTATTTCCTTCTACCAAGAATGCCTTCCTGTTCAACCTCACTTTTTGATTTCACTAGTTCCTAAGACCAAACTTAAGTTTCACTTCTTCTGATAGCACTGTAAGATTATTTCTACCTTTCTCCAAGCCTCAAACTAGCCAGGTGTCCTCTCTTAACTTTCATAAGATCCTGGCTTCCTGTATCATAGCATTCATCACACTGTACTGCAATTACTTGCTTGTTACCTGTATCCTATTAAATGGTAATTTTTCCACATTCTTTATATTTTTTTCCTTATCACCATCCCTTATATCTCCTAGATCCTTTCTCCCATCCCTGCCTTACCTCAGCATCCTCACAGTGTATTTTGTATTTTACTTTATCCTATTATCCCTCATATAAAGGTCCCCTTTTACTCAATTTAAATTTGGGCTTTCAACAGTGAACTTCATATAATACAGACATATGTTCATTTTCAATGATGAACATCTGAAACTTATATAACACTATAATGCATTCATGTTTCAATAAAATGAATAAATACCACACACAACTGTTCATAGTAGTTGTAGCCATAATTACCAAATCTTGGACACAGCCAAGATGTCCTTTAGAGAGTAAACAGATAAATAAACTGTGGTACATCCAGACAATGGAGTATTATTCAACAATAAGAAGAAATGAACTATCAAGCCATGAAAAGATACCAAGAAAAATTCAGATGCATATTACTAAGCGAAAGAAGCCAAACTGTAAAGTCATGTACTGTATGATTCCAACTATATAACATATGGAAAAGCAAAACCTTGGAGACAGTAAAATGTCGGTCATTTCTAGGGGCTGGAGGTGGAAGGTAATGGGTGAGTAGGCAGAGGGCTTTTAGGGCAGTGAAAATTCTCTAATGGTGAATACCACCAAGAGTGGAGCAGCATCAAGAGTGAATCGTGGATTTTTGGCTAAAACCAGTATGTCAGTGTAGGTTCATCATTGTAACAAACATAGCATTATGGTGCAAGATGTTTATAGTGAGGGAAGTTGTGCATGTTGTAGGGGCAGAAAGTATATGGACATTTTATAAAATTCCCACTCCATTCTGTTTTAATCTTAAAATTGTTCTAAAAAGTAAAATGCACTAATTATTTTTTAAATACCCAGGAGATAACAGTATGAACATGTTTATGTGTGTGTGTATATATGTATGTATTTTATATGTATATACACACACATACAGGCTCTGGTATGCATAAAACCATATAGAGAAGTTCTTAATATTAGCAGTAGAAATCTCTAAGGTGAAATGTCACTTTTACCTTCTTCTTTGTAGTTCTCTTTATTTAAATTGTTTATACTGATCCACCTTTAAAATAAAATTATTCAAAAATAAACTGCTCAAATGAAAAATTTAATATACAGAATACTAATGTGCCAGGTTATGTTAAATTCTAAATAAACAACTAAAACTACTAAGAAATCTACAGAGAAGTTATATTATTACAAAATTCCTAAACAGTCTGTAAGAAAGATATAAATGCTGAGACAAAGTGACTTTTCCTTTTTTCCTTTTAAGAACTTTGTTCTTGTGATTCTTAAAGACTGATCAGATTCAGAAATTTAGTCTTGTAGAAAACTTCCTCATGTAACTCCCCAGGGCAGCTTTGGCTAAATGAAACTAATTGAAAGATAGCCCTTGTTAAGTCATATTTTTTGTTTCTCCTAAAAATAAGTGTAGTGAAGGTTTACTCCTAAACTTTATTGATATTTGAAAGAGGGAAAAGAAAAAACTAATTTTTGAGTTAATTCAGTCTATTAAGGTATTTTCTTTATATACCTTAGTATGTAAGGTATATAAGCCAAGGAAAAACAAGACAAACACATCTTTTTGTTTTAATTACAAATGAAGAAATCACATGTAAGTAGTAGTTTC